AATAACCTATTACTCTATCCTATTAAAATTCAATCGTGTTCGCGTAGCGATGAATCCGAAGTTACTCTAAGCATATCATTGGTCACAACTCTCCCAGTTGGTATCATATTCTACATACAAGTTTCAGTATGTACGAACCGCATCTGACAAAACCTAGAATAACACTTTCGAACTCTGCTAGTCTCATTATTCATGTTTCTTTTTACTGACAGAAAGTCATAATTAACGTCAGCCAAATATTTATAGGTTTGAGTATTTGAGCAATTTTGTTCGACAGGGTAGTCGCGATCTCTTACCCAGAGCCCGCATTTTTGCCATCTCAGCGGAMGTCGATTCGTGAGAGGCTATTGGGTACTGCGCTGATCTCAATTCGCCATTGGTTGAAAATTACGTAAGCGCGCATTGTTTTCACTGTTTTCAAGTCGGCAGTGCGCGCTCACCTCATTAGTAAAAAAAAATCATACTTTTCTCGCATAACGATACATATATGTAACGACTGTTCCTTATACTACAGTATTTTCAAAACCTTTTTCGCTCTTGTCATTTTAATGCTCTAAACCGAAAACAATGTTTACCTGATTTGCGACTGAAAAGCGCCCAAACTGATCCAGTGAATTCCCCGGAGCCTTTACGGCTCCAGAAATACTTTGACATTAGACGTGAAGACTCTGGGATATCTCAGATTGTCCTTGTCAGTATAGGCTGTCCGGTTTAAATTGAGGTCTGTACAATACTATATGAATAGTATTTTTCTGGTGATAAATGATATTATTTGATTGCAGTCGTTACAATCTAGAAGGTGTGTACAGGGACTGGGGCATGAAAGAGTTACTCCAAAAAGGCTGTGATGAATATGAAAAATACAAGAAGACCGAATACAAATGTTGGTCTAAGGAGTTCCTGTGTTCGGCCAAAGAAACCGTCAAAATAACAGTAGATGGCTTCAAAATGAAGAAAGGCTACCATCATCATCGCTGGTATAGATGGTTTGAAACTGTGCGAGGACACCAAGCCGACGATAGAGATGATGAAATCAASTGGATCACAAAAATGCGATGGAATGACCCAAAACTGCTTTACTGGGCTCAAAACGATCTTGAAACCCTCGCCAATAAGATATTTGATCGAATTTTCTTCTACATTGAAAAAAATAATATCGATAGCCTGAGRCTAGTATTYGATCACTACAAATCAAGTGGAGTTATGAATGCAATGAAAGAACAGTGTATTACCATGAACGAAGACGAAACTCAAATACAGTGTAAGYTAGCTATAGTGTTTGATAGGTTATCAGAATTGATGGTAGATTCTATGGATATTCCATGGGACATGAATAATTCTCCCCCTAGAACAAGGGAAGAACTATCTATGTTATATCTSCTTCAACCAAAAGTCTATGAGATTATGGAYATCGGATCCAAAGCAAGAAATAAGACCCTTTGCCACCGTTTGAAAACAATGTTTCAGAGCTTTTTCGATAATGCTTTAGAAATGAATGGTGAGAAAATTAAGGGGCATTTTGGTAAATTTGGTTCAATTTATGAGAGTGTAAAGCAGGATTGCGCGCAAACCTATAAAAATGATTTTGAACAAATGGTATGCTATCTAAGCGAGACATTCTCTCGCATGAACGAATTAGGGAATGCATTAGGTGTGGATTACAGTAACTGGCAGTCGAGTAGAGCACAAGGCATGAGAGCTGTTGTTTTAGTTTGGCTTTTATTGACGCCTAAAGGTAAATTTTATGTTAATGCTAATGAACTGGTAAGAGSTCAGTCGGCGAAAGAGCTGCTTAAACTGATGTACAAGAAAATCCAAGCAAACGATCTTGTCAGTCTTCAAGAGATTGCCAGTCTTATTCCTAATGAGGATCAAATGGGATTGACCAGTAAGGACGAATGTGCCCCCAATTTCGACAAAATYAGTCGCGACATGAAATGTGGTTTTAAGATTCTCATAGAAAACTTAGCAGTGTTTCTTGGTCAGTACAGTAGCAAGGATCAAAAAACGAAACGTTTAAGTCTAACGGTTAATCACAAAGAACGATTACAGCAATTTCAAATCTCAAGTATTAAAGGTGCTGTTGAAAACACTAAACTTGAGCTTAAAAGTTCYCTAGAAGGATTTGTATCTGAAATTAAGAAGTATTTTGAATCCTCACTTGGAAATCGCTTTGAGAATTTAAGGCAGTATTATCAATCACTAGCTAGCTTTGACTTAGAAATTGCCAATGYAGATGTAGCTTTTATCAATGGTAAACTAGGCGAGTTCAAAACGACTGCAGCAACACTGAGTGAGAAGCTCGTGTATGATGGTTCTCAATTGCAAAGGGAAGGCACGCTCATTAAGTCTATCGATGCTACTTTTATGTGGATGAAAGCCATTGCGTCGGGAATCTCAGCTGTTGTTGGGATCATGGGAGGTGATTTTAGTGGATTCGCTGATGCTGCTGATCGTATTGATGCTGCTGCCAAATCAACTTTAGAAGCAGTTAAGGGTGGTGCAATCGCTGGACAAATCGAAATAGCAACAAGCAARTTTAAGATAATTGCAGACGGATTAAAGGAAAATCAAGATCAGTTGGAGAATACAAAAAMAATTATTGATAAACTCAATATTAAAGAAACCAATAGTATTGAATTCAAAAAACTTCRAACGGATTTCATCAAATCTTATAATGATTAYACTCCAAAAGTAAACGCAGCGCAAATTGCTGAGCTTGACACTGCATGGAGTGAAGTAGTCGACAACTTAGAGGCTTTGATGGATTCWATGGAAACGAAAGAGGGTATTKCAGGTGCAACAAGGTATTTCGTGCACAACCATTTTTTCAAAATAAAACTTGTTGTACCGCAGCTTTCTCAAACTCTCAGTGATAGGTTTGATTTTCAATTTGATTTGATGGACAGTTTAGCAGCAGCGGTTCGTGCGCATACTTCTATGCAAGGTGCTAAAGGYCTTTCTCAAGGATTTTCAGAATTAGAACAACAGTTAGCAGAGTCTGAAACAGCTCAGGTTGCTCTCGACCAAATGGCTTTATCCACATATATATTATCGCAGTTCCATCTCCTTATGATTCTCTCGCAATATTGTAATTATGTTACATATGTTAATGCAGGGATGGAGTCCACGAAATGCAACACTGCCTTAAGAACAATGAATCCTGTYCATATCGACGATGCACTAAGCTATAGTCCTCCTTCTTGCGATGTTGTCAAAGCTAATCTAAGAATCCCTACAGATCTTTCAGGCAAAACCGCTAGTATCAATTTAAAACAGTTAAACTCAGGAGAGCCCGTGCCTTTTCAAATTCCAAATTTTGAATGGCTGACGCTTAACGGGGGGATATCTGAAGACGATAGGGACAGTGCCCTTTTTGTCAAGCTTTTTGAGGTCTATGCTATCACTAATGACAGCTATCAGATAAAGACTAATTTGCGGGTAACTGTAACGCCCTCTGGGCCTGCCCCTGTTTATCTAGGTGTGGGTAATGTCAAATACGAACTGCTACCAATMTCACGGACTACTTATGTATTTGAATACAAGGAAAATGATAGAGGTAACTGCGAATCGGAGAAGAATCCCTACTTTGTTTGTTCCCCGGGACCCAAAGGGATTTGTGTCCAAAGTAGGGGAGAGTTAAAGAATGACCTAGGAGCTTATCCTTCAATCTATAGTCCATGGATCATTACACTTGACAAAAACATAGGCAACGCCCCAAATCCTGTCAAAGGCACAAAATTTTATCTCCAAGCTAAGCTTCAGCTATGCCGTAAAATGAAGGATTCTAATGCTAGATCCCGCCGAGGAAGACGTTCTTTGAGCKCTCTCAAGAAGCGCAAAACCAAAATATACAAATACARGGACGCGTCTGCCTGTCCGCAGGGAAAATACTATAATCAAGACTCAAGGCTATTTGCTGCATGTAGTGCTGACTCTACCCCACAGCATAATAACTATTATTGCGAGATGAATTAAATCGATTTATCATAAGGAGGTAATCCACACCTAATCTTAGATTCAGATATAATGCATTCTAAATATATCTATGTCTATAAATTCTCTTT